TGTGTGTGTGTGTTCATGTGTGTGTGTGTGCCCGTGTGTGTGTTCATATGTGTGTGTGTTCATGTGTGTGTGTGTGTGTTCATGTGTGTGTGTGTGGTCATGTGTGTGTCAACCGAAGAGAGGTCCCCCTACTTCTAGGCATAGAGACTAGCCACAAGCATAAGTTATCCCCGAAGAGGGGTGGCAACCCCCCCCACGGAGTCACTGTGACAAAAGTTTAACCGACCCCCCAATTTTCACCCCCATTTATAAGAAAACCAATGGGTCATTTTAACCATACTTCACACCAATCTGTAAAGTGGGCTTCTTACTAACTTATTGTAAAACAAAAACCGGAAAAAAAAGAAAAAACATACAAAAGAGCAAGTCAAAAGTGCACTTTCATGAAATTTTACCAACAGAGTCGGACCGGAGTCACACACCTATGCCTTACGTCTTCCACTGAGCCGACACTTAGTCTTAATTTATCCTTTCCCGTACCACGCCCCTACTCGGCCCACCTTGAGCGTGGAATTACCCAGGTCCCATGACTTTTATCTGCCTATCAATCATCAATCGCTAGGCTGTCTAATCCCCCCCCATATGCTCCGCCTCCAATCGTGATCTCTTCTACCTTCCTTCCCTTCTGCTTTCCTCGCCACTGTCTTGCTCTTTTCYCTCTTTGAATCGGAGTTTTCCTTATCTGGGCTTAAAAAAAAGTGGGAGGGGATAAATTCAGCAAGGTAGTCTCTCCAATGGGGCCCGTCAGGGTACATACCTCAAAGCCTTCGATCCCCTTCAATACTCATTATCCAAGTCCCAGTAGTCCTCCAGCTCCGAGTCCGAGACGTCGGCAAGACACCGGTCTACTTAGGACCCGACCTCCGAGCCTCTCCCCGTCACGTTCTCAGATTCCCAAACGATGCAAACGTTGTCCCTTTGCAAACCCCTATCCTGGATTGGTTCCCTTCCCTCTCTTTTCTTGACTTAGGGCGGGGGTATTTCTGCTCTCGAATCGACCCTTTGGACCGTACCTCTTCCTTCCCGACCGGGGATAACCGAACCCCTTCCTTCTCTCCTTGTTACTATGAGTCYCGTCGTTAGTCCCTGAGGGTCGAGCATGATAGGTAAGGCCCTTTCCCTTGGAATTAAACCCCTTGGATCCCACACGGGAGGTATCTCAGGACCCTCTTGAATCCCCCCCCTCTTCTCTCTCTTCAATACCCRCGATTTCCATCCCACGTGCAGACCCACTTACACTGTTTTCTTGCGTAATTTTTCCCCTTCGATTATTTTTCACCCTCGTTCAGACCAAGCATGCAGGCAAGCTCTTCACCCTCTTGTTTTATCAATTTTACAAAATAAAACACACCAAAGTTTCACCACCCAGTACGGATCTGACCTGTTTTTCCGGAAGTCTCAAGCGGGGCTGGCGCGGACTTGCAAAAAGAAGGAGATCCTGACACCCCAAGTCCCAAGACTCTAAATAGCCTTGCACCCCTTCTCAATGAAAAAAAAAACAATCGAGAACGCGTACGAAGTCGATTGATGGAAGGGACGTCGTCAAGAACGTGGTCCGAAGAGGAGGCCTCTATCAAAAATCAATGTCGTCAAGATGTGTATCTTTTGAACGGAGAACGGACGAAATTCAACGCCCGTTCATCCGTTTAACGGGCCCCTGGACCCTCGTTAAATCCCGTTTAACGCAAAAACGGGGGCTTCACGTTGAATTCCGAAAAACGGAATACGGGCTCTGGGCCTCGGACACGTGTGCCTACGTGCCCGAACACTCAAACCAGAAAAAAAAAATAAAAAAATTCACCCCCTATTGAGACACCCCCCCAAACACCCCTAAAGGACCGAAACCCCCCTATCTGACCCCGAACACACCACCCGGCCCCCTCCCCCCAACCTGCACATTCCCACCACGACCCCCAACCCCCACTGCACCTCACTGCCCTCAGTGCCCTC